CATCACAGCTGAAAGGTAGTGGCAGCAACAGCTTGAGTAGAGCCATCAGGGAGGAGCCTGTGTGAACAGAGAGACCCAAGCAATCTGGGCCTTCATATATGCTGAGGGCCATGGTGGGAGCTCACCAGGGGGCTGGCCACCCCCACCACAAGCATGGGATCAGGCTAATGACCACCACAGGTCACACACACACACACACACACACACACACACTCTGAAAAAATACAAAGGGAGGCAAGAGAGGTAGAGAAGCAAAGAAACAAGAAGAATGATAAAGTATGCTGTGTGCGCACACCAGCAGTCTATGAATCTGTGTACACATCTCTGTGCTGGGGGCCTGTCACGATGCTCTTCCTACCCTGACACCACCTCTGCATCATAGAGTCATACAATGCACAACCAGGTCTCTGCAACAACAGGCTGCACACAAACCCCATAAGATACAGCACAGTTGAAAAATACCCATCGCCTGGTCCTCTTACTGTTCCTTTTCTGTGTTTATATACATTGAGATACACAAATACTGTTGTGTGACAACTCCCTACAGTATTCAGTATAGTAACGTGCTGTACAGGTTGGTTACCTAGGAGCAATAGGCTACGCCATATTGATATTTATGCATATATATGCCATACATCTCAGAGATGTGGTAGGCCATACCATCTAGGTATGACGTTCACATGATAAAATGCTTAGTGATCAGTTTCTCAGAATAGGTCCCCATTGTTAAGCAACTCGTGAGTGTAATTAGCAAATAAAACCAGTTTATAAGTGTCCTGATGACAGCTTAGTCTCTTGTGGTATCAACAACTGCCAGGCAGCAGATCCTGGAGCCAAGAGACACTTTCCGGGCAGAACTCCCACCTGATCTTCCTTTGCCTGGTGCCTTCAAGGCTGCTTGGTTTTCTTACCCATGGATTGTCCCTTGCTGGCCTCTTGTTGCTCTTCCCTTGAAGGAGCAACAAGCCTCATGCATCTAAGGACCCCTTTGTGGACGTGTTCAATGGTCATCTGTGCTATGGGCCCTGCAGTGTGTGTCCACAGGGCAGGCAGGCCTGTGGAGCTATCCACACCCCAGCTCCCAGTGAGCTGGACCACGGCGGGTGCTCCATGGCACTTTTTGACTGCAGGAATGATGGGCAGGCCGTGGGTGACGATGGCAAGGTTGAAGCTGGCTGAAGTGGCACCAGCAGATCTCTGCAGGTGGCCTATCCACTGGATACGTTTTCCAAGAGGGGCCCTGAGGGTCTGCTCAGTGTTTCCTCAATAGCTGTCTTAAAGACTTTCGGTATCCCCCCAACTTCCCCCTAGGCTCCACTTCCCTGCCCTGCCAGCCTCACCCCACCTTTCTGAGCCTTCTGCCACTTCCCCTTGTCAGGCCATGCCAGCCTCAGGGTGGAAGGACTCAGAAGGCCCTGGATCTCAAAAGTGAGAAGGGCCAAGAGCAGTGTTCAGCTTAGGACCCCCACCTCCTGGTCCACACTCCTGAAGACTGTGAGTCTGCGGGGACAAGCTCCAAAAGGCAGATTCCTCCAGCTGCTCCCAAACCCTTCTGGTAGCAGCGTCCTTCCTTCAGGTCCTAGACCCCAACCAAGCCCAGCACAGCTAAGCCCCCTGTGGCCTTTTCCACAGGCTAACACTGCCCCCTGCTGGGCCTGGCTGGGATGGCCACAGAAGAAATTAGAAAGATGCCTTCCATTGCCGGAGACCCCTAACTGCCAGCCCTACCCACAGAGGGCAGAGACTAGGGTCCTCAGGAGCACTGGGCCTTCCTGCCTCCAGGAATCCTAAGGCTGGGATTGAATGAAGACCTTGGTCACAGGCAAAATGAGCAGGAAGGTCCCCACCCACTATCTCCAGTCTGCCCATCCCTCTCTCAAATTCCTTCAGGAACTTTTGTCTCCGTGTGTGGCAATGCTCCTGAGGGGCTGAGGTCAACTCATGTGCCTGTCATTCACTTCCCTCCTCAGTTCCAGAGCCTCTCTCCAGGCCAGTTGTCTTAACTCGGCTCCTTGGGAGCCTTGTTCTCAAAGCCTGAGTCTCCCTTAAAATCCACCTTCCCTGTGGTCCACATCCAACAGGACAACAGCTACAGGAGGTATCTCTGATGCTTTTTAAATCAGTCTTTTCTGAGTTTTCCTCTTCTGTTCAGCCCATAACCTGCCCCCTCCAACCCCAAGTTCACCTTCCAAGGGGTGGTCGAGGATATTGTCCTAAAGCTCCAGTGGGACTCTCTGCTCAAAAGCCTTAATTCATTCTTCCTTCCTCTCTAATTAGGTACAAACTCTCTGCAACCTGATCAGAATCTGCCTTCCCACCCACAGGCATTGCTCAACCTATGCTGGGGTTACTGGGTTCCATTCTGATAAGCCCATGTGTTGTAAGTTGAAACTACCGTAAGTTGAAACTATCATAAGTCAAAAATGAATTTAATAACCTAAACTAACTTAGGGGGTCATATATTTTCTTTCATATGCAGAAGCTGGAGAGGAAAAAGGAAAAGAAAGGTGGGGGTAGATCTCATGAAAATCAAAAGGAGCTCAGTAGAGGAAAGGGAAAGAAGGTGGGAGGTGAGAAGGGAGGGGGGAAGTGCTGAGGATTCATATTGGCCAAATTACATTGTTATATTGCATCATGTGCGCATACAAATATGTAACAACAAAATCCATATGTATAATTATACTGCATCAATAAAAAATGTGGGGGGAAAATAATAATATACTTTAACTACCAGGTGATGGTGGAATTAAGAGCTCGAGCTCACTGATGCTGCCCAATCTTGAGAGAGGTGATCATACCACGTACGGCTAGCTGGGGAAAAGATCCAAATGCAAAGCAGGGTTTCTACTGAATGACATTGATTTCACACCATCATGAAATCAAAAATCCTAAGTCGAACCAAGGCAAGTCAGGGATGGTATGCAGATGGCTGTATCCTCCCTCTTAAGTACAGAACTTCTTACCTCCCCTTGCAGTCTCAACCATGTTCTTATTTGAATCCAGAATGCTCTCCTCATACCCCACTTAAACTCCACCAAACTCCTTCCCACCTGAAGGGTTCACTTTAAACGCCTTTGATAAGAATGAAGCCTTTCTTGGTCCCCCAACAAATAGTAATCTCCTCTGAAGCCCAGGGCCGTGTTTCACCTCTTGTGGCACTCATGTCCCCTCTCAGGACAGACATTTCTGCCTCCTCTGCCCTTCTGGGGGAGAGGTCAGGTAGTCCACAGTGACACACACGGTGACCATAATTGACTCACAGCACTGATATCAGAAATATAGAAACGTCCCTTCTCATGAAAGCAGGTTTTGATGAGACCACAAGGACAGAGACCCTGTGGTAAAACGGAGTGCAAGGAGGACTTGGGCCCCAAGGGAGAATTAGAACTGGAAGGACTCTCAGCTCCCACGTGAGCAGGCCCCTCTTGTTGCCAAGAGGACAAGTCCCAGGGGAGGGAAGGAACTGCCCAGCACCACGCAGCCATTGAGCCCCATTTCTACTGTGGGAGAGGCTCAATAAAGTCCAACCCTTTCCTTTCTTATAGTTTGGCTTTTAATCAACCCCCCAATGCATCTCCCACCATTTTTCCTGCAGTGATCCTATCCTGGCAAAGAGCAGACTGTGGGAACACTGGTGTGG